TTAATAACATAACCTAGGTCTCTTAAGTTATTTTTCTTTAAAACAATTCTGTTATGGTTTAAAAAGTTGGTTAAATAAAGATTTAATTCAAAGGCTGTGTTTGTGTTTTTTATTAAAATTAAATCATTTAGCAATATTATAAAAAGTCCAGGCAGAGCTGCACATAAAATATGGTTTCAAATCTTTTCAATAATTATCGATATCGATCAATATGCATTTTTTTTTATCGATAAGCTTTTTTTCTATATCGCCCAGCCCTATATCACAATATTTTCATATGCTGATATATTACCATTTAAAAACATCATATCAATCTCTTTTACTAATGAAATATTGCTATATGTCTTCGTAATGCTACGAAATCCCCCGAAAATTCATGAAATTTTGTCATATTTTTATATGTTGTTATATTGACGCGGTATCGATCTATTTTACTAAAAAAATCTCACAAGAATTTGCAAAATATCACGAGAGTTTGTAACAGAACAATGAAATTTCACCAGATTTTGAAAGTAAAATAGATCGATACCGCGTTTTTAAAAATCAATTTGATATCAGCATATGAAAATATATTTGAGTATATTATTTTTCAAAGTGTCAGAAATGGATAACAAAACTGCTATTTTCAATGACTACTTATTTTTGTCCAGCTTTAACATCAGTATCGATATCGGTTATCAGCTACATGAGTTTTAAAATATCGGCGTATCGGATATCGGCCAAAATTCCAATATTGTGCATCCCTAATCTCTGATAAAGGTTTGATGTTAGCCATCTTTGAGCCAGACCATTTACCTAACATTTATCTTGTTATGGATCTTTAAAAAAAATTGTTGGATGTTATTGAGTTTAGTTCATTTTTATTGCAACAATTCACAACACAGGTCATCTGAAGGTACTTTACAGAGACAAGTCAAACAAGTCCTACAGTCAGATTGGTTAAACATTTCTTTCAGAGGAAACTCAAGAATCTCTGAATCCTAACTACACTCTGGAAGTCCCCTTCTCTGCATTTTACATAAACACTGCAGCTTCAAACCATCCATGACTTCTGGATTCTTGCAGTGACTCACTTCTCTGCGATGATGCTACTGCCCCTCAGTTGCCATGGCAGTTGTCATGGCAACCCGTGTCCAGGTTTCCTGCAGGAGGGATGCTAATGAGGAATCTAAAGGGCTTAATATTGATGGCAGTGTCTAATTATGCTGGCTGCTACGTGGAGGCTGCTTCCAGAACCTGTTGAGTCCTGTTCAGCCCCGCATCCCTGCTGGTACCTGAGCGCACAATGAGGGGGTTACTTTGCTGGGCCCGTTTTACATATACATGGTGCTGTCCAGAGGCTGTGAGCCATTCATCTGCTGCTGTTTGCATGCAGAAAATCCCGGATTATGTTTCCAAATTCACCAAAAAAAACAATATAGTCCTCAAAGAGAAACGGCTTTTAGCTTGAATGATATTTGGAAAAATATCATGTCGCCTATTTTTCCCTGCTGTGTCAATTAGAAAATACTTTTGAAAATTTCTTGAGATTCAGACTGTTCACTGCAAAAACCACGGTTAATTTGAGCAGGTAACTATGATGATTTCCCAATAGAATGAGTATTTTTAGTGTTAAAGATTCTATTTTGTTTCATTTCTATGATCCCTCACACCAAGCATGCTTGTAGCGACAGTGGACAGGAAAACTCCCTTTGAACAGGAATAACCAGGCTCTGTGTGAGCGGTCATCTGCTGAGGGCAACTGGGGTTCAAGGAGACAGAAGGAGACAGAAAAAGAAGCAGAGATACAAAAGGTAACTGTAAAAGGAAACACTGCCAGGCAGATGAGCTCCGAGCCAGCTCCCATGTCAGAGGATGAAATGAGCACATCCAGTTAGTCACAGTCAGAGAAACAGGACTACACTGTAAAACAGGCCAAGCTCCAACATCTATAAGCAAAGGTTTTGATGGCAGCAGCACAGCTGATATTTCTATCCAGTATGATGTCACAGCCAAACAGGAACAGACCAGATGAAGTTACTGTGATGAGAAAAAAGCAGAGAGAGCAGAACATAGAGATTGACCTAACAGATTCTGCAGTGGGCAAATAGAGATAGAATGAAGCAGAATGATGAAATGGGGGTCCCTATGTCCTCCAGCAGTCTAAGCCTATAGCAGCATAACTATAGAGATAGCTCAGGATAACCTGAGCCACTCTAACTAGAAGCTTTATCAAAAAGGAAAGTTTTAAGCCTAGCCTTAAAAGTAGACAGGGTGTCTGCCTTAGTTAGGGGGCGGGCTTAACGCAAATCGAGTCGCCTCCTACTGTATCAGAGTATGTCCACAACCTGTGGATCACAGTCTCTCGCTCTGTTCGAAAACCTAGGACGCATCCTTAGAAGACCGGATTCGAAGGCCGATTACGTCATAGCGCGGCGCCGAGGTCTGGTCGGATTCCAAGAGTCCTCGTTATGCGGCCTTAAAATGCGTCCTTCTTTTAGCCCGATTTGAAGGACGGGTCTGATGTATCCTCGGTATTCTTGGATATCCCAGGATTCATTGCGAGACCAAGCAAGCCGTGATCAGAGTAACGGTTATTTGGCGCCGAACAGTGGTGAAAATTGGAAGTTCAGTTTAATATAATACAAGTCATTTAATAGTTCCGTCTGAGATTAATGAAAAATAGTTGTTTTAATGGTTATAGAGTCAGATATGTGGCGGTAATGTTTGATTTATCTAAAGGTTTTTATCTGTTACTGATTAAATGGGTTTGGCTGGAATTTAAGGACAGATTCTAATATATTTGCAGGGTGGGGACTATAAATCCGATGGGATTTTTATCTTTTTATTGCTGTTTTGCACAATATGCTTAACTACGTATTTTTTGTTGTTGAATATTAGAGATTTTGCAGATATATTTTTTATAAATACATTGTTTAGATTTGCTTATATCTTTCTACCCCTTTTATAGAATAGAAAATCCCTTTATTGTCCCACAATGTGCAAATTTACAGCAGCAGAAAGATTATTGAAAATGGTCACACAAACGGGGACCTTAGAAAAATGTATAAGAATAACATAATAGGGAAGAGTTAAAATATAAACAATAAAATACTGTAAAGTATTTTAACAATATAAAACTGGAGAATAAATAACCAATATGCAGCTATGGACATTTTTACAGTAATGGATATTTGAAAATAGCAGCAACATCAGAGATGTGCAGAATGACAGCAGCAGGTTATTTAACTGACTAAGGTTTCTATCATTACATTTGATTTTATTTGTTCCTGCTCCCGGTGGTTGGAACATTTATTCCACTCTGGATTCTTGTGAGTGTAGTCTTTGTTCACTTTACAATAAAACAGAAATAAATAAACAGTTTTGAAAACTTCTGTATTCATTCTTTTCCTGCTTTGTGTGTCAACGTTTACTGTTGCTAAGCAACAGAGCATACGGCGGTAAAACCTGCCGAAGGGTGGACCTGGTCGAATTCACAGCCTAAACTCTTCCGGTCTCCTTATTTTCAAGGACTTCGAAGGATCCAGTCTAGGTAGACCGCGTCCTTGGAGGACCCGTCCTAGGTTTTCGAACAGAGTCTCTGTAATCGATTTGCTTCGCCTTAATGTGCAGGGTGACCAATCAGGTGTTAGATAACCGCCCCCTAACTTTGATGGGTGAGTTTGACAGATTCTTTTAATGGTTTCGATGCACTGCGACACAGGACCATGAAATAATTAAATGCACACTGAAATAATTATATATATATTTTTAATAAAATGAAGACGTATTTTATTAAATTAATGACAGATTTTTATATTTAATTCCTTATTTATTTAATGAATTACACATTTAATTAATTGTTTATCGCTGTATTTATTTATTTAATTGTGGCACTTTATATTAGTGACATGGTTTTAATTAATGAATGACACATTTATTTATTTAATTCCACATTTAATTAATTATTGACACATTTAATTATTTATTTAATGCTGTATTTATTTATTTAATTTTGGCACTTTTTATCCTCCATACTTTATGGGGCCCCATAAAACTCAGTTTACATGTATAGTTAATACAACTATTCCTTATTTGTGCACATTAATTATGTTTTTGATAAAAAATCCTTTGTCTAAAATGCCATCAGAACGCTTATAATAATAAGTGTGTTCCTTAATTAATAAATAATTGATAAAATTTCCTAAATCCACCCCTGGCAGAGCGAAGGACATCTGATATAGTTCCATCCAGATAAAACGCCACATTGGCCCAAAGGTTGAAAGGCCCGATCCAGTTCCCACAACAGACCTGTAAAGGTTCCTTTGCTGATCACCTCTAGGAGCATGGAGTCCTGGGGCCTAGCAGACCGGCCGCTTTCGCTGTGCTTTCTGTTGGACCGACCTGCTTCTTCAGGTCCTGCTTGGTTCCAATGGATCCCAGTGGCGACCGTCGCTGTTCTGTCTGATCTAAACTAAAATGATCGGAGGTGAAACGCTGCAAAGAGCAGAGAGATTTAGCAAAATATTTTCTAGAATTCTATAATTCTAAAAAAGATTAGAACATTTTGTCCCTACACCTGCAGACAAATTGTCAAATTTAAGACAATTTGTTCGACAAACAACAAAAAAAAACACCAAAGAGACCAGTCAACATCAACCAAACCAAACATCCATTTTCAAACTAACTAAATTCACCTGAACATGAATAGAAACAAAACCCTCCAGCAAATAAACCTGTCAGTGAATACAGCCAAAGAAGCGAGCAATTAAACTCTAACCTCCAAGTGTCCAACCTTACATACATACATTTACTTTCAACGTATATTGGGTGATTGAAATGACAAAAATGTTGCTGATTTAGCAAAACAAGCTGCTGAAGCTTTGACTAGGCCACAAAAAGCAGATCTCTGACATCTTTGGATGCAGTGGGCTGGTTTTCCTCAGCACTCCTTTAACCCATCTGACTGGATCAGAGTCCAGTTCCAGTGAGTCCAACCTGTGCTGTCTCTCCCTCCTCAGGGTCTCACAGATGTCCTGGCAGTTTGGACTGCGCTCGGGCGGGACGACACTTCTGCCGGCCAGGCGGCTCCCGCTGCGGGGCGTGCCTGCACCCTCTGGTGGAGAACAGCGATGGGCGCTGCGTCAGCAGGAGGAGCCGTGCTCACCACTCTGCTCCTCATTCTGCTCCTCATTCTGCTCCTCATTCTGCTCCTCATTCATCTGAGCCTGTTAACGGTAGGTACGGGAGGCCTGCTGGGAAAATTTAGGCTTAAAAAGATCCGACTGCTGAAAGAGTTCCTTTTATAACAATGACCTTTAGTTACATTTGGGTTTGGTCATAATTTAAATAATCATTGTTTTTCTTGTCTGAAACAATGGATGCCATTAATATTGAATAAATAAAATCTCCCCTCTGGGTCCCATGGGTTCCCACAAACCAGAGATGGGGACTCGAGTTTGTGACTCGTACTCGAGTCGCACTTAAGTCGCATATTTAATGACTTTAGACCCGACTTAGACTTGTGATTTCTGACTTGTGAACAATATTTTATTTTTAAGTGTTTTTTGTTTTACTAACTTGACTGATCGCCGCTCGCCTTACTCGCACACAGCAGAGAGAAAAAAAAACGGCAGAGGGGCTGTCAATCAGTCCTGTAGCACTGACGTCACTGACGCAATGCTACGTGACATATATGCCCGCGCGCCCGTGCGCATGCATGCATGATCGACAAGCCAAGCTTTAAAAACTTCATGGCAGTCGTAGAGGAGAAATATAGTGTGAATAATGTTGTGAATTGGCACTAAATAAATAAACTGAATTGAATTTAAAATACTGCCCGCCAAGTCGGTTCTGTCTGTTCCAGGGCATTAAGTTATTGCCACAATGTTTCTTTTATGAAATTATTGTTAATGTCCTGGTATTTATTTAGGGTTTTTCTTTATCTGTTGTAGTTGCTAACTTCATATGTATTAATAAAAAGCAGGATTGTGATTGTTTTTTTTTTTTTCACAGCCCTCATTTTCACTTAAAAATAAAAGAGCAGACATTTACTGCTAAAACTAGAAAAAGTTGTAACCACAAATGTCAGGTAAATACTGTAAGACAATTGTTGTTTTTGAAAGAAAAAAATAAAGATGCAAAATTTAACTGGAAAAAAATTGCATGTGTGCTTTTTTAAATTGTATTTTTCATTTAGCAGTTCAAGATAATGATCATTCCATAGATATAATAGTGACCTTTAAGCTATACCATCTCAGTGACGGAGATGAAAACACAACGAGAAACAAGCAAGCACACAAATTATTGCACTTATTTTAATTAATCGAGTGATTAGAATTTATTGTGCGATTAATTGATAATTGTGACAGGCCTTCTCAAGACTTGAGACTTGACTTGGACTTGCAAAAAATGACTTGTGAACATGTCTGCCACAAACCTACCCAGGAAAGTCTTTCAGATTCAACAATCAATGCAAAACTGTTTGAGCTGATTAAATCTGGGTCCCGATGAATCTGTTTGAGTCTGTTTCTAGTTGCAGGGAGGGTTTAGGAGGCAGCGTCACCGTAGAGGCTGATCCTCTCGTAGTGCGTCCTCCGAACATGCTACCATTGCTCTAGATAGAACTTTACATGAGCGTTCTCCTAAAATAAAATAAAATTTTCTACTGTAATAACTTTATTGTGCTGTTCATATGCAGAGGTATTAAGTAACAAAGTACAAACACTTTTTTTTTTTACTTAAGTAGAAATTGTGGCTATCTATACTTTACTGAAGGAATTATACTTTAGACAAAATTTTACTCCTACTCCTTAAATTTGTTTGTAATTATGTCTGCTTTCTACTACTTGCGCTTTGTTTTTTGACATTCTGCTGTTTTGTCTGGATCCAGTTGTACCTCCTCTGATTAAAGCATTTTGTCCCTAATGCCAAAGTCAAAGTAGCTTTATCAGTCCACCTCGGATTAAATCTTCCTTGGGTTCATGGATCAGCTGCTCCAAACGCATCTCAACCACCATAGATAAAAACAGTAATACAATAAAAGAAGAAAAGAAATAAAAATAACCTGTAATCATAAGGAGTACTTTATATTCACATCCGTTAGTCGCTATCATTTTAAAGAAAATATATCAAACACTGAAAATCAACATTTAAAAATATATTTCTTTCTTTGCATAAGAGGCTGATTTTAATAATGTAAGGTCTTTATAAAAAAATTTTAAAGCTCAAAATGTTTGACTTTAAATGACATGACCCCTTTGAAAATGAATCCAGGCTGGTGCTTCAGGTGATGATGTTTAAACTGGCCACACGGGGGCAGTGTTTGCTTTGTGGACCACCTTTCAAAGAAAGCTGATTCCCTGCCAGAAAGGCTGTTTATACTGTTATAATGGAATAGGGGGTTTTCATGTGACGTCGCGCTCACGTGACTACTCAGCGCGTCCGCCATATTGGGTGGCAGCCTTAGGCAGTATTGACAGTGAAAAATGGTGAAATCGTGTGTAATTGTTGGTTGCACGGCCCGTGGAGGTGGAGATCAACGCTCTTTCTATCGCATACCAGCCGTAATCGTGAATCAATGTGAAAAAACAAAACAGCTATCTGAACAACGCCGTCACCTATGGCTGACACGGATATCCAGGTCCGATTTGGACGGTGTTAAGCTGGAACACGCCAGAGTCTGCAGTGCTCACTTTGTCACAGGTAATTAACTGTCAAGCATTTAAAACATGTAAGAATATATTAATAATAGGGCGTGGGCGTCATGACGTATTACTTTCCGTGGCCGCAATGTTGACCGTCTCCGCCGCCGCTACTCAGACTACTGCCTATGACCACCGCGTACTGGACTCCCTCTCTCTGCCGTGTTTTAATTTGATTAATTTCACCTTAACTTGATTTCAACCAGCGGGAAAAGGCTCAAATATGCGAGAAACCCGGAGGGTTTAGGGAGGTTTGGCAGTTAACGTTACTAACCAAACCTTTGAAACACATAGCAGCTAGTTAAAAGTACATTACATGCCTGAGTGGTTGTTAGCACTAACGGTTAGCACTGTTTGCTGGCTTTATGAGCTGCAGCTCCTGAACCCATCCATTCGTAAACTGCACATGAGACTCCAAGGACTTGTAGCTTTGGAACTGTTCGCGCACCGCCGGCCGTTAGCCACCTAGCATAGCGAGCCCTGCGTCGGATTGTTTACATTTTTACCATCTTATTAAAACTCACCCGTCCACGTATGATGGCGATTTCCTTCATGTACATCACTTCGACATCTCGTACCCAACCAGATGTGAACTGGTTGTGAGCCTCTAGACCCTTGTACGCTCTCATTTCCTCCAGAGTGTGCAGAGGGTTTTCACTGAACACCGGGTAATGAACTATGTTACCGTGCTCTACATTTGGCCAATCATCTGGATTAGTGCTAAACAAGGCACCGTGGAGGGCATAGGGGTCCATATGGTCGATCACGGAACATTTCCTCAGATATGTTCCATGATCTGGTGGCTCTAGCGTGCTGGCGTACTTATCTATTCGCGACATGATATATTCAATATACGATAATATGCCACCCAAGATGGCGGACCGGGAGCTGGCCAGTGACGTCACTGAAAACCCCCTATTAAGGAGTGTTTAACTCACCCACCACCCTCCACTTCTGGTTTGTTTATTTTCCCCTCCTTGTTCTTTTTCTATCTGCTGCCCTTAGGGGGCGCCATAGCAGATACTCAAATAAGACGTTATTACGGTTTCTCTTTTAGGGCCACAATGAAAAAGCAAAAAAAACCTTTTAAATCTCTCTGCATAAACTGAATATGTGTGTGTTTAACATCTAAGGGCTGCTCAGTATTAGAAAAACTAAAAAGGTGAGGAGACTGTGGTGTTTATATGACTTTAATAAGTGTTCTGCCTTGGGTACTAAAGCGCCAATTCACAACACATGTTATCACAAGTCCCTTTACAGAGAAAATTCAACCAGATCATACTGTATAGTTAGCATTACTAAACATGTTAAGTCACCTGTCTAAAAGGAAAGCAACAACCTCTGCGTGCATCCTGGGCCCCTTTGGTGTCTTAAATCGGCAAAAAGGCTCAGAAGCTTGAAGCTCTCACTCTTTTTTTAGCTTGAATCTGGGTTTTTTATTTATATTTTGAATAGAAATATCTCCATCTGTCCTGAAACTTGTTGGATTCTCCCAGATTTTAAATGCCTGGTTCCAGATACCTTGTTAAATTTTATTTATGGCTGAACTAATCTCAATTTAATCTGCTGAAAGTCAACAACCCTATTCACTCTGCTGCAGAATATTGACTGTCTGCAACTTGCTGCAAGCAGACATGTTCACAAGTCATTTTTTGCAAGTCCAAGTCAAGTCTCAAGTCTTGAGAGCTCAAGTCCAAGTCAAGTCTCAAGTCTTGAGAGCTCAAGTCCAAGTCAAGTCTCAAGTCTTGAGAGCTCAGGTCCAAGTCAAGTCTCAAGTCTTGAGAGCTCAGGTCCAAGTCATGTCTCAAGTCTTGAGAGCTCAGGTCCAAGTCATGTCTCAAGTCTTGAGAGCTCAGGTCCAAGTCAAGTCTCAAGTCTTGAGAGCTCAGGTCCAAGTCATGTCTCAAGTCTTGAGAGCTCAGGTCCAAGTCAAGTCTCAAGTCTTGAGAGCTCAGGTCCAAGTCAAGTCTCAAGTCTTGAGAGCTCAGGTCCAAGTCAAGTCTCAAGTCTTGAGAGCTCAGGTCCAAGTCAAGTCTCAAGTCTTGAGAGCTCAGGTCCAAGTCAAGTCTCAAGTCTTGAGAGCTCAAGTCCAAGTCAAGTCTCAAGTCTAGAGTAGGCCTGTTGCAATATTAAATTAATGGCACAATAAATTCTAATTACATGATTAATAAAAATAAGTTCAATAATTTGCGTGCTTGTTTCTCCTTGTGTTTTCACCTCCGTCACGGAGACGGATCTAGGGAATGATCATTATCTTGAACTGGTAAGTGAAAAATACCTGCTTATATGTCACGTAGCGTTGCCTCAGTGACGTCAGTGCTACATGACTGTTTGACAGCCCCTCGGCCGTTTTTTGTTTTTTTTAACCTCCGCTGTGTGCGGGTAAGGCGAGCGGCGATCAGTCAAGTTAGTAAAACAAAAAAACACTTAAAAAATAAAATATTGTTCACAAGTCGGAAATCGCAAGTCTCGGTCGAGTCTGAAGTCCCTCAAATGCAAGTCTAAGTCGAGTCTGAAGTCATTAAATATGCTACTTAAGTGTGACTCGAGTACGAGTCACAAACTCGAGTCCCCACCTCTGGCTGCAACACACAAACTCTTCTGGGTTTTGTAGGATAGAGAACTCTTAACCAATCTGGATGGTGCGACTAAATCATCTCTGTAGAGGAATGCGAGGTGAAGTGCTGAGAATTGGTGCTACATATAAATCAACTGAATTGATTAAGAATCACTGAGTGACTTATGGCTCCTGAGCTGCAGGGTGTTGACCCCCCATAATCAACCGGTTTCTGTATTTTTGGATCCACTGTCAGTGTCTTTATTTGTAAAAGTATATTTTACCACAGTTGGCCTATAAAACTTATGTAAGAAGAGCTGCTAACGTGCTTTAAAAAAAGGCTTTACTTATTCCAATTATTCCTACTAACATCTGTTGCCTCTGGGAGCCATTGGCCCCTCAGAGGCCTGTAGAAACGTTAAAAAAAAATACTTTTTTAAAGGTTTTCTCCTGTTAGAGGTTTAAATTTGCTCACTGAAATATTTCTGATTGGTTTAAACAAACATAGCTCGAGTAGCTGTTCTTTTCTGAGATGATTTTGACCTTTGACCTTCCAGAGATGCTGTTTAAAGTAATAATTCATTTTACCACGTCGCAGTGATAAAAATACTCTGTGTTTCTGACGCTGTCCAGTTTTTGGTTTGGGGTTGATATAAAAATCGGTTTGTGGCGGAATCTGAAACCGTCCGCCCATTTCTCTGAGCTGGTCTGATTTAAGCCTCGCTTTGAATGCAGGTGCGGTGAGGACCTACCCTGAGCTAGATGAGGAGATCGATTTCCTGTCGGCCATCATCAGTGAGCAAAGGACCGAGTCCAGGATGCCAGGTACCTGAATGAAGCCTTCCCAGGCTTCTCTTTGCTTCTCCACATCCTTGATGCTGTAATTGTTCCAATTTTGCCTTCATTTGTCTCAGCGCCACTCTCCCAGGACTTTAAGCTCATCCAGCCAAGCTCCGCGCACAGAGGATCCCCCACAGAGCAGCCCACCAGCCCCAGCATCACTCTCAACACCACGACTCCCCCATCCACCACCAGCCACACTCCTGGTCAGCTCAGAGACCCTCTCATCGTCGCCTCACCCTCCAATGACCATATCTACATTAGTAAGTTCGTCTATCAGCCATGGAGGCTTTCTGGGGCCCAGAGGACACAGAGGGAGGTTCACAGTCTGACAGCCGAGGCCTAGACTAAGCTAGCCTGTTCTCAATGTGAACTCTGTCATCTTTGGGGAGTCTAGCTCCTGATTATGTCGCTGATTCAAGCTGCCGGATGGATCCAGAGAAAAGAGGCCAGTGGTTTGTCGAAACATCTAAACTCTGAACATTTGTTATATAAATGATAAAACAGGACTAACCTCTCAATAAACGGACCCTGTTTGAATCCATCTTGACGGGATCTGACATTCTAACCACGTCACTAAGCCCAGCCCAGGCGTCTTAGTTCAAAGGCGTTCTTTGTGAGTGCTGCCTACATTGAAGTCTTGTGATTTAGCTGATCCTTTACAGAACATTGGATTTGCCACGCCGTCTCACTATCATCCTCAGTGTCTTCCTGCCGCTGCTCTCAGAGACCATGTCTTCCTCTGACTGTCACAGACCTGCAGATAAATCCAGCCTTCTGATCATCTGTTTCTCTGTGTTCTCAGTCATGAGCAGCGTGTTCATCGCAGCGGGTTCGCTGGCCATGGTCATAGCAGGAGTCTGCTGGGTCAGGTAAGACATCTCTCCTCAGTCTTCTCTACTCGACCAATTAGGATGCATGTCGACTTTCAGCACGCCTCATTATTGATTCATGTCTTTTGTTTCAGACTGCAGAAGGGGGTACGGCTAACTCAGAAGGTGGACTATCCTGCGTATGGTGTGATGAAAGCTCAAACCTTTGGCAACTTTGTGAGTAGATCTCTTGAAAAATATTTCAAACTTGAGGAAATGTAATTATGCTTAAGCACCATAGTCTGTTGAGATGGAGAGAGAATATCAAACAAATTCACTACTCAAAGCACCAGGTGCTCCGTTTCCTTTCTTAAGATATTTTATCATCTGGTAGGCAATAGAAACCATTTGATAAACAATAAAATCAATTTGATTGACAATAGAAAACATCTGGTGGTTGACTTGAGCTGAGTCGACTCACATCTGAATAACTTCTCAATGATGTCCAACTTTATAAGTCTAATTATCTCAATTAGATATCATGCACTTGGAAAAAGAGACTGCAGGTTTTTTCTCTTATTTTAAATGTAAATTGTCTTGTTCCAAGCAGGGCTCGATGTTAACCATCGCCCGATCTCCCGGGGCAAGTCGTTTTTTTTGTTGGGAGTACAAATTTCATTGCATTTGCCCGCCAGGCAAGTGCAATGATCTCAAAAAAGAATTATTTATTACTCAAAATTATTTTAAAATCACCGACATTCGATGAAAACGATCCGGAAGCGTTGCCGGCGCCATTTTTGTTATTTTGTACACATTCTCGCCTGATTTGTAAAAGCCGGGTGATTTTCCGCCAGATGGCGTGATTTTTGTCCACCTAGTGGTAATTTTGATGTAGTTACCAAAACGACAAACGGCTGAATTTTTTTTTCGTCAAGGAAAACTAATCCTGAGTCAGTTTAAAGTCAGGAAATTCTGAAATTATGTAACACCTGCAATAAATAACTATGTATAATGATTCTCTAGAAAAGTCACATTATATTAATAGTATTATCTTGTATAAACATACTGCGACTCTAAAATAAAAGTTAGTCATTTGTGACATTGACTTCTGTCTTGTGATTTATCTTAAGTTTTTAACCTGTCAAGTTTTTTTTAACATTACAATTTATATTTTTCTAAGCACACAACAGTTTAAAGTAAAGTTTAGTTTGAAAAGAATGTGCAGGAAGGATTGTAAAGCATGTTAACACGGTAATGTAGGCTTGAGTTCATTATCTGACGCATGCATATACACACCAGGAACCTGGAAACTTACTGAATTACAAAAAACATTTTAAAAAACAAACATGTTTCATTGATATATATACAAAAATGAATATTAGGAACTATATTTATCAAACATTATACTGGGCAAGTAACAATTGTTTCTGGGCAAATGAAATGTGAAAGTGACTTGCCCAAAGGGCATGTGGTAAAAATCCTTAACGTCAACCCGAGGCTACATACTTTTATCTGTTTTTAACTTGTCAAGTTTCTTTTTAGATTTTTAACATTACAATTTATATTTTTCCAAGCACACAACAGTTTAAAGCAAAGTTTGGTTTGAAAAGAATGTGCAGGAAGGATTGAAAAGCATGTTCACACGGTAATGTAGGCTGGAGTTCATTATCTGACGCATGCAGATGCACACCAGGAACCTGGAAGCTTAAAAAATACTGAATTACAAAAAAACATTTAAAAAACAAACATGTTTCATTGAAATATATACAAAATATTAATATTAGGAACTATATTTAGCAAACATTATACTGGGCAAGTAAAAATTGTTTCGGGGCAAATGAAATGTGAAGGGCAAGTGGTAAAAATCCTTAACGTCAACCTCTGCCAAGTGTCTCACTTAACTCCTCAACTGCAAAAATGCACTTATTTTAAGAAAAAATGACGTAGATATACATGTTTTTTTAGTTCACCTGACCGTCGCTGCACCACGAAGCTTTTTGAGTAATTTATTCTACTTGCAACCCTTTTAAACTGATCAAATCCTGGGAACGCCGTGAAATCGCCCTAAAGTCACGTCTTTAGATCATTTTTGAAGAACCTCAAGTCCTGATAAGAAAAATCTTAAATCTAAGCGACTGTGTTCTTAATTGTCATGTGACTCTAGTTAATGTGTGAATGTATTTCTGAAGACATTCTGGCTCCTCTACGGTCATAGCAGTCTTTAGAGTTATTTCTATCACTTGCATCAAGTACTATCCTCAGCAACTGGTTAAATTTAGTTAATATGTGTGAAAGGCCCCCAGCCTGTTAACCATGAGCAGCCCTGACAGCAGAAATGCTTCTGCTGTAAGGAAATGTCAGCTGTAGGGTTTTTGCTGCATCTTGATGGGAACTTTTGATGTTTTTTTTAGCCTGGAGACAAGAAGCTGGCCCAGAGTGCGCAGATGTACCATTACCAGCACCAGAAGCAGCAGATGCTCTCCCTGGAGAAGTGAGTCCCGTAGTGTCCCCCTGCCTCGTCCAACCAGAGACACCCGTTCAGTAGCCAATGACTGTGTGCCTCTGCGTGTTTGATCTCTGCAGAAGCAGGGACGAGCCCAGGATTCCTGACTCGGGAGCGTCCACAGACGAGGAGAATGAGGATGGAGATTTCACCGTGTACGAGTGTCCAGGGTTGGCACCAGTGAGTAAACACACTTTCATCTGGGGTCTCAGTACATGCATGGGCCATAAGGAACCAGGCAATTCACTGAGCTAATGATGACAGCGAGTTCTTAGTCAAACCCCTCATGCTACTTTAAAACATTGTGTTTATTGTCCTTAAGCCACATTGTAACTAGTTTGGTGACGAATTCTGGTCATTTTCCAAGTTTAAGGACCCATCCTGCCCCAGATCAAACTTCTGCCAGGGATGATTATCCTCAGGGTGGCAGCCTTCTCCTTTTGCTTCCAAACCTAACCAGTCATTTAGGCTGACCTCTTCAGCTTTGCTATCATTAGACTACAGGGAATGCGTAATGCTCAACGTCTCTGCGGGCATTTGGATGCTTTCAGATGGCTCCTTACTGTACAGTATGTTGCGTCTGGAGTTTTGGCGTTTTCCTCTCTTTCTCTAGAGGGAGGATGGATCCAAGCTTATTTCTCCCTCTTTCTTTTTGATCCAGATCTCATGACCATAGGTGAGGGTGAGTGTCTAGACAAGGGGTCGGCAAAACTGTTGGGTTAGAGCCATATTGGAGCGAAAAACGAAACAATAAGCAAATCTCTCTGGAATTGCAAAAATGTAAAAGTCTTATATAAGCTTCGCAGGTCAACACTGTAATGTAATAGTTTTTGTTGCTTTGATGAAATTATAGAAACACAATAAAGAAATCAGATTTTTTGTGTCATTTTTATTTTGAGAATTTTTGGGGAGGGCTGGAAAAAAGTTCCCATACCTGTATCAGAGCGCTACACTGCAAAAAATCTAAATCTTGATAAGTCATTTTTTCTTAAAATAACTGCATTTGTTCTTGAATTGAGTAAAAAAAGAGACATCTTGCCAATGGAACAATTGGCAAACTATCTCATTGACCTAATCAAATCAAGGGTAAATACACTTATTTTAAGAAATTTGTACTTATTTCTTGATCGTTTTTCCAGTGTACCTGTTTGATCTGTGGGCGGTTTTCTATGCTTGCAACCAAACTAGCAGCAGTAGTGGAGTCTGGAGATGCAATCCACTTCTTAAATCTATCTTTGCTCTCCTCTAATTTATACAGAAGTTCTGCAATCGTACTTTTTCTCTCACTCCCCACTTGGTGATCGGCTGCATATTTAGCATGCCTTCCATAACCCTATAATGCAAATCTTCCTTGACAATAAAGTTAAAGTTTATTCTTTGAATGTATTTATGATATAAATTTTTACAGCATTGGAAAATGGTTTTTTTACCTCCAATACACCATATTAAAACAAACAAAAAAATATATCCATCTTCTTCTATGTTCATAGATTTTTGAAAAAGCTTCAGAGAGCACCGGGGGGGCGTGTGGCTCTGGAGCCACGGGTCGCCGACCCCTGGTGTAAACTGATAGGTTTATCATCCTACTGTATTCCAAAAAAGTAAAAAAAAAAGAACTATCCTCTCGACTTAGTTTCCAAGTTGAAGACGTTTCTCTTCCATCCAGGAAGCTTTTTCAATTCAAGAATGTTAGAAAAAGCGTTGAGTTTGAGGTTTTATACAGCAGCCCAACAAAGTCTTGTTTCAGCTTAGAAAACATGCAAATTGAAACGGACGAACGGGTCCACCCCTTTGGAATAGGGGTCGTTTGGCTTCTTTTGTTAGCCTGCAATGCCCCATACCTGTCTGTGTCTCTGAGGCCCCGTCCACACGAAGTCAAAACGAACACGAAACGCTGATATTTTCCAAAACGTTTGCCGTAAAGACGGAGACGTAAAATAAATGTGAGCGTCCACACGAATGCATGAAAACGCTGCAAAATGTATGCCAGGCCTGTAAGTGGCGCTGTGGTGCCAAAGCAAAAATAAGCGAAATGTTGGGCATGCGCACTAATATTTATACATGGTTGCCCTGCGGGTCTATTTTCGTGGTTAAGTCAAATTCAGGTGCTGAACTATGTGGTCGATATTGCTCTGTTCTTCCTGGAGATATTCCAGAAGAAGATTCTGTTGTAAGCCCGACCAGCCCGACAGCAGGGTGAGTAGCATTAGCAGCAACGGCGCCATTGTTGTTGTGATGTGTCGCGCTTGCGTGTTTAGAGGCGACGCTATGACGCATGCGTGTAAAAAAAAAATGCGGTTAGGGTGTAAAGATGGAAACGCGAATACGGCGTTTCAGAATCTTCCCACTCTGAAGGGTGAATAAAAAAATGGTCGTTTACAGACCCCCGAAACGCCGGCTTCGTGTGGATGAGAGGCTGGTTTGGTGAAAAATTTGTGCGTTTAGGCCAGGGTTTGTCTTCGTGTGGACGGGGCCTGAAAGGGGGGTCGTTAGAGGGAATTGTTGGCCTGGATGAACAGGTGAGGTCTACTGTTCCCCTCTAAGGCAGTAGGGGTCGTGATGATGGCATGAATGAATCGACTCACTTGCTGCATTGTAGGTTTTTGAAAGCTGAAATCTAAGTTCACCCTCTCTAACTCAGATTTCAGCAGGGGTGGAAAGTAACAAATTACATTTAGTCACGTTACTGTAATTGAGTACTTTTTATGAGTAAATTGTAATTTTCTGAGTAGTTTTTGAAATATGTAATTTTTACTTTTACTTGAGTAAATTTTAACCTAACCCCTCACGTTACTGAGTGGGGAAAAAAAAATAAAAAATACTGATGGTGAAAAAATTAAATGCAGTCGGAAATTTAAACCCCTGTGTCACGGAACCGACACATAATCGCCATTAAAAAATAGAAGAAGACTTTTGAATTTTAACAGCACTTTATTTACACAATTCAAGTATATAAGCAATTGATGTAAAAACAAGTGTCAGTTAAAAACATTAAATGAGGAGCTTGTTATTAACAGTGGGATTCTGTTGAGTTTTAGTTTGATTTCTGGTATCTTTTGGGCTTTTAATTTTATGTGCATTTTGAAAACTTTAAAATGTAGTTTAAATGTCTTTATTCCTATCATGGTGTTGTCTGTTGGACAGGACTGAAAATAGTTTGCACTTTATGGTACAGGTTGTGACTGTCCTTGTGCTGTGAGGAAGTATGTTCTTTAGCCCGGCTGAAATATGGTCCACTGAAATACGCCTTGAAATCGATTAAAACACCTTGTGATCAATTACATTCATGACTCATCCTTTTTTGCATTAAATAACTCATAGTAACTAAGTAACTTTTACTCAAATTACATTTTAAATGAAGTAATTTTGTACTTTTACTTGAGTAAATTTTGTGATGGGTAATTTTACTTTAACTCTGAGGAAGATTTAGATACTTTTACTCAATTACAATTTTTTTTTTGTACTCTTTCCACCTCTGGTTTTCAGCTTTCAAAAACCTACCATGCAGCAACTGAGTTGATTCCTTCATGCTATCATTGAAACCCCCAAATAAACCAAACGAAACCCATTCCTAAGGGGCGGACCCGTTCGTCAGGTTTAATTTGTTCTTCTCTAAGCCAAAAAAGATCTTTGTTTTTGGTCCACTCTGAAAAGCCTTGAACTCGATGCTGTTTCTGACTCTGCTCAGTGAAAGCATCACATCTCTGGAACTCTTTGCCTCTGGAGCTTAAGTCACAGACTGATATTCGACTTTTCTCCACAAGATTGAAAAAAATGGCTCAAAGACAATCAAGAGTGTTAGCACTAAACTGGCTTGTACTGTACATTTTTGTTTTAACTTCTCTTGTTTTGTTTTTTGTTTTTTTGTGTGTTTTTATGCATTTGTGTGTCGTTACTAACCTCCCTCCCTCTTAATGCTAACACCTTTTAAAAGCCTAACCAGGGACGAAGGCTGCAAATTAGCCCATGGCTACAAGCCTTATGTACTTGGACATCGGCCACCTGTTTGGTTGCAATGTTTAATTGTACTGTCCCTGTCAAATAAACAAATAAATAAAAACAATTTTAATTGAAAAATCTTCCTGGATGGGAAGTGAAACGTCTTCGGACTTGAAAACAAAGTCCAGTGGATATTTTTTTTTTTTTTTTTACTTTTTTGGAATGACTGTGACCTGGATGACTGAGAATCTTCTCCAGGACATCCTACTTTACCGCAGCAGACTGGATCAGGGCCGTAGTCCATCTGTCTGTCTCCTGCTTGGCCTTTTCTGGTGACCCCCTTCCTGTTGAAAATTTGGCTCTTAAGAAATATGGTAGAATCTGCTGTGATAGAACTGAAGAACCTTCAGTTTCTCATAGTCACATAACCATATTTTCATTCAGTCGACTATGAGAGGATGTTAGAAGCAGGTATTAGCCATTTTTCTGGCTGGTATGGATGGCTGCAACATCAGGTCCTGAGCATCCTGCACATGATCTCTTTCAGAGCCTGAAATAAACAGTGTTGTATGAGAGGCAATGAAAAAACGGAAACATGCAATCAGTTTTTTTTTCCTCTCATCATTCATTATTGTTTTGTTTTTTTACAGACGGGAGAGATGGAGGTGAAGAACCCGCTGTTCGACGACTCCAACCTTTATCTGCAGAGATTCCACAAGTAGACCTAGAACCTTCAGATGCAGCACCATGTGTGTGCTGCTCCCTGGATTTACACTCACATTCACCCTGTAGCCGCTGTCCTCAGTCCAGCTCAGCTGGAGAGCAGGACTGACAGAGTGAGGTCCGGTACTGGGAGGAGGAGGAGGAGGAAGGAGGTGCAAAATGCAAGCGTTGAGTTCTTGTTGGAAGCGCGACTGAATGTGAGCGCCGTGCTCTGCAGCCTACTTCTGTGCTGTTTCCTTTTTAGTTCAGCGTTAGCTCCATGTGTGTCGGTTCCAGAAGGAAACTGATGGACGGTTGATTTCTTCTTCACCCATTAGTAAATGCTCTTCAGTTCTGACTGATGTTTGGTTTTATTCGGAGTTTGGTCGTGGTTTTAGAAAGGAGCAGTTTTATGTTTGCCGAGCACGCCTCCTCTCTGTCAGGATGCCATGTACTTCTGTGTTTCGTTCCTCTATGCATGAAAGGATGATGTAACAAATATGCATCTCTATTTTTTTCCCTCCAAGTTTGTACCTCAAACTTGCTGCTAATATTTATCCGATAGATACGCTGTATTTATGTATATAACAGACTTCAGAGTCGTTTCTGGAGCAGGAACATAAGCTGTGTGGGTCTGTGATCTGTAAATAACAGCTGATGTGTCTCTGGCCTCCTGAACGCTGCTGCTTCCTTTATTTGCAGGGATGGCCGGCGGTTGTATCAGCTGTGCCGCCACCAGAGTCCAAACATGTTTTCGGGATGTTTCTAGGTTTTATTTAAAGATGTTGAAGATGTTTAAGCAGCAAAGGGAGCCACTGAATGACACAGCTGCAAGATAAATTAGAGACGCACTGATCAGATAATTGTGGTTTTATTAAAGCTTCCGCCATCTTTGATCTGCATTTAAAAACTATAGCGAAAAGTGGTTTGAGCTGCATTTATAGAATATATTCTTCAGCTATTCTATCAGTAGAAATTAGAAAAATCTGCATACATATAGTTCTATCTGATGGCTTAGATAAAACTGTAATATTTCAATCCAAGGCTTTGGATGGTATGCCGATGAAATACAGGCTTTTCCTCTCATGGTCCCATTATTGACAGAAAAGTCTCTCTGACCCAGACCAGCTGGTTCTGCTCCGGTTTTAAGAGACTGAGTGAATATTTCAAAATTGGGTCGGAACTAGAAGCCCTGCAAATATGATGACTGTGGAGGAATAACATCACAACACAGAGCGGAGAGAGATTTTCCAGTAAAACAAACTCAAGTTCCCAGATTCCCAGTGGCTCCCCAGAGAAGTCATTGCGTTGGTGGGCTTCCCATCATCGACCCAAATACGCCAGACTGTCAAAAAACTACAACTTCCTGTTTTCTGCCTCTTGGATTAAAGAAACAAGCTGCCAACTGTGAGGAGACGCTGGGTCAGGATGGGGGGAACTCCTCACTCCATCTCCCCAAACTGGACTGAAATCGCAGCCCAGAACCTGTAAGACCAGTTTATCCAAAAGGACAGAGATCCCGGAACAAAGCGGGTCGTCCTTGGAGCAAAGCAAAGATCAAATAATCAGCTGATCAGGAAGTTTCTGGTCTCGCCTGCTGTTTTTTTCCCTTTAAGCTGGAAGCTAAACTCATGCCTGCTGGTTGGTCTCCTCCAGATCGACGGTTCTGTAAAAAAATAACTGTCTTTGGCCTCCTTTGTTCCCTACATGTTAAGCTTGCATGTGCATATGTCAGAGCTGTAGTAAAAGAAATAAATATTTATAAGATCTTAAGTGAAAACTGATTCAGCCTTTTTATTTTTAAAGGAACATAGAAAAAAAATTGCACTTTTCAAATCTCCGGGAAACAGCTTCATGTAGCTTAAAGGTAAACTTTAAAGAAGCACCAAGTATGACTGAGTTCCTGTTTGGAGTTTTAGAAGAACAAGAAAGAAGGAGGACATCTGCTGGACATGAACGGAAGTGTGAAGTTGTTTCTTGTTTCGGAAGAAAATGCCAAAGTAGTTCCTGATTGAAGAATATATTTATGTTTTATAAAGATGCACAATAGTAACATGATTATGTAATAAAAAGTCAGAGGTGAGGTATATATGTGTGTGTGTGTGTGTGTGTGTGTGAATATTGATTTGCACTGCCGACTGGTTATATATGCTGTATATATGCTATTGTACATAACTGTAAAAACCTTTTTTATAGTCATATCCATCTGTATATTATATTCGGTACATATCCAGCTGTATATTTAGTTCATAACACTAGTGAACTATATATTATATTCATTATTTATAATAGTATTCATCTCTATACTCATTCAGTAGAAACCCATGTCCTGTATTTATGGAACCATTATTTATCCTGCACTTGCTACTATTGCACTACTGGTTAGAGCTAAACTGCATTTCGTTGCCTTGTACCTGTACATGTGTAATGGCAATAAAGTTAAATCTAATCTAATATATAAAAAAAACAAAAACAGTTCCAGTCAAACACACGTTAAATTAACCTACCTTGAAATTTGGAGGTCAAGCTCTGGAGATTCTGGTTTCACTTTATGTCAGAAAGGAAATTGTCAAAGTGTTTCTTCTGCCTGGCATTATTTTATTTTTATTTTTCAATACTTTTTTATTTTAATATTTTTTGCAGTCTTTGACCCACCAGAATTTGCTCATAACCTTATATTTTTGCTCTGTCTTTATGAGGTAATTTAAGGGAAGTCTTGGAAATGCAATAAATAATAATAATCATTATCAGAGATGAATATTTATCACCAGGCACCACCAGCATGATGACTTCTTCACAAAAGGAGGAACCATTACTTTGGGTCATTCTGACCCTTCCCTTTAAGAAATGTGCTATTTAATCATAACAGTTTGCATCATGATGAAGGGTGTAACTTTGCAATAAAAGTTGGTGTGGGCGCTTTAAGGGCGGTGGCCGATGGACCTACAGCTACTCAACCCGAACGCTTTTCAATAAGGTTTGTATTTTCAAAAAATGAGCTCAAACATATATTTATTTAACGCTTTACTATTGTTGAGAACACAAGAGAACCACAATACATTTGTGGTATTTATAGTTATAGACAGATGCCTTCCTTTAGTGCATTGTTTATAAAGGGCTCAAAAACATTAATATATAAAAAACGACGAATAACAGCCGATACCGATCCAATAGAAATATATCCTGCATCGCTAGAATGGACACAACTTCACTTCCATCCATCCATCCATGCATGGCTTCCCTTTAAGCTGCATCAGTGATTCTCCTCCTTCACAAGCAGCAAAATCTAATTTAGAAATTTGTCCCAAATGTCATTAACAGCCAAAGTCTATATATTAAACCTTATATTTAAAAAATCATTTGTGCTTTAATTTTTGTAGGTTCCTTATACTTTAATTCTAAGTCTCTGTCCATTGAGTCTGACTGTCTCGGGTTGCTGCACAGCTATTTCTTGCTGAACTACAAAAGACAAAAAGATATGAATTTTATTATAGCATTGCATATTTTTCTTGTAAACTTGGATACATATTTTATTGCATGTTGCATATCCCAGTAAATGTTTCACCTTTAAGCCTGCAGCTCTCCCTTATTCTCTCTGTGCTCTGCTTAAAAACAGATTTATGAACCTGTCTGCCAATATAATGATGCCAGATAAAATCTTTTTCAGGATCTAGAAGCTCTGCAGTCTGATTCTCTGTTCAATAAGAAAACAACAGATATGTGTTAGTTTTAATCTGTAACTCTAATTAATGGTCCTCTGAGAAGCCCAGCTTTTTTAACTCATATAAATGTATAATCTGTTGCCATTTTTAGCTGAAAAAGCGCTGGATGTGTAAATAACGGATTTTTTCGGTGGCATCTCTGATTTTTTTAACCAACCCGTCTCCTAACTTTTACTTAAACATATATATCTGAGTAGCTGCAAGTTAAAATTCACTGAGTGCTGCTGCAAATTTATGTTAAAAGGCTTGCCATATCCGGTATCTCTTCTCCTCCTCGTAGCTACTCTGTACGCAGTGAATAGTGACCCCTAATATTATGTCCCAAAGCTACAGATCCGATAATATTTCACCAAGAGGTGGGACTGGAGAGGAAAAAACACGGACTGAAAACACTCTAAACATGCTGCACCCAACCCCAGTTACTGTTGGCTGAAGTAAATCAGGGGAAAAAAGTGGAAATTATAAACTGCTAAGCTTTACAGCCAACATTTCACCCAGAATATGGGCACAGCTGAGAGGAAACAAACCTCAGACCACAGATGTGAAATGATTTAAAACATTTAAAGTGTTTCAGTGTTTCTATTGATGTCATATTAATCTATTCTTTTCATACATTTTGAATCTTTTCAGCTCATTCTGTTTTGGCCGAACCATTTTAAAACACTCTAACCTTTCAGTAGCAGCCTGATTTAATGTCACGCCGTGTTTCCTGGAATGAACCTCGTGTCTTTCAGGTTAAAGAGTTCTTTTTTTATTTTCCCAAAAAAGGCTTAAAGAAGACGCCAGACTGCTCTGTGGTTCGGAGCTGGAATAACCTCAGGTATTTTGGTCGTCATAAAGAAAACATGAAAACATTTAGATGTGAGCTCTTAAATAAAACTCATGAATTATTATGATTACATTTGTGCAAAACAGCTGCAGTTATCAGGAGCAAATGACAGTGAATCATTTTCAACAGCAGAAACATTTTGATCTTTTTTCATATTCAGTGATTAACTGAGATACTTCCCAAACTATTACTAACACTGCCATGTGAAATCAAGTAAAACCCAATCTTTTCTCTTCTGCATTTTGACACCCTATCTCCTTCCTGTTTGCCACACATGCATGGCGGATCAAAGGAACATGTATTACACAATATTAGCACGCTTCTCTGAAGATGGTGTCAGCTGTTAACCCAGCCCTCCAGGTCCTGGTAGACCTTCCTGCTGGGTAAATTGGGGTAGTTTTGACAGATCTGACAGAGCCTTTCTCTCCAGTCTGTGCAGGTTTCAATCCTGTGAGTCTGATGCCACCTGAGGTACTCCTCATAGGCCCGCTTGTCTGCAGCCACATGATTCAGGTGATCGGCTAGTTCTGCTGCATCTTTAAAATCCGTCACGTGGATGAAGGAATGAGGCGGAGCTACAGCCTCGTAGGTGGACCTACTCGGACCCAGAACCACGGGAATAGCTCCTGCTTGGAACGCGTTCCTCCACAGCTTCTCGCTGATGTAGTCCGTCGCCTCCGAGTTTTCCAAAGACAAGTAAAAGAGGCAGTTTGAGATGGTGGGCAGCAGCCGGTCTTCTGGGAGAGGCTTCTTGTTCCACCCTCCATAAACCTCAATGGGAATGTACTTTTTCAGACTTTGGTAGACCTGAACACGGGTCTGATTGGGCTTGTATCTGCTGACCACCCAGCTGGCAAAGCAGGAACGGTTTAAAGCACCTGGAAAGCCTTTAACTCCAGCTCCTTGGAGGGTCTTTCCATAGGGAATGGGTATATCTGCATCACGCCTGTAGCTCATTGTCCAGTTAAAGACACCATTGAGCTTCTTGACATTGGCGTTGTTAACTGGAGGCTCCATGGAGAGCCACACCCAGTGCTGGGCTGCGGGGCGGGGCAGGTGGAGTGGCAGAGCTGATGCACCGTTGCTCAGCTCCTGGTGGTGGAAAACAACCACGTCTGCAGTCGGGTACATGGACCTGTCGTCAGTTAGAATACAGTGGCTGATATGGCTCATCTCGAGACATTTGTCCCCGCCGAGACTGTAGGACCGTCCAAATGGCCAGTGCCACAGCAAGATAGTGAGGTTCTTGTGAGAAGGCTGTGCATGGAGCTTCTGGGTTAAGAAGCTGTGATAAACCAGTGGTGAGAGGCATCTGAGGAGGAGGAGCAGAGAGAAGAGGAGGCACAGTCGCCTGGACCCATACGCTACCATGGCTTCTGGGTGGGATCCAGGTCAAAAGGTCGCAGTTTACTGGCAAGGAACAGCTAAGGGAAGGAAGGAAGGAAGGAAGGAAGGGTAGATCAGAGACATTATAATGTCACATGAATGTTCATCAGAGCAACCTTCCACACCCAATGATGATGCCGGACCAGTGAACCCAAAACCAACCCGATAGTCCTCTAAGGTCTGTTCTAAAGGTTGTGTTCTGGAAGTCACCTCACATGAATTTCTGCTCCTAACAGACAAAAAGAACCATGTAGTGATAATGATACAAACAATGGAGTCATATCTGATCAGAATTATTCTAAACTATGACAAAACTCTTCTTATCAGACACACCATGAAGTCCTTTTAATCATCTCATACTGCTGGTTGTATTGGAGAACATTGGTTAGAAAACAAAAAACTAGACAGGTTTACGTATTTTTAATCCCTTGCACCTTTTTTAGATAAACATTAACAGTCTGTATCACTAAAGCTAAGAAAATCAGGAGCTCGGTGGAGAAAACGCTGCTTACCTTCGGGAGATGGCATCAGGCACTATGCCGCCAGCCTAACATGATCCGCCTCACCCTCTTGCAATTTAAAGGAAATCCTGTCCGCTTTGAGTTTTTTGACTCATCTCTTGCTTCACCAACACAGTTTCTCATGGTGTACCCGTCTTTTTGCATCAGTCTGTGGTCGAGAGTCACACAGTAATTTATTTATAGCAATTTCTAATCTAGTCTTATGTTTCTGCTCTTTGAAATCCTCAGTTTATCAACTTGCTGATTTTCTCCAAGATAACTTTTTTGCACTGATATTTTATATAAGTTATTGGCTCTTTTTTAAATTTACTATCATGTGGATCTTTACAGAATTGTAAAGTCCTCCAACTAGAGTTCTATAGCCTGCTTTTGGCTTTTTGTCTGAATTAAATGGTTTACATTTTAAGACAAATTTTAATATCAGATTGAGAAGAACCTGAGTTTTTATTTATAGAATTATTATAATTTACTCAAACAAAAGAAAACTAACTTGCACTACATGAAAACTTTGATAAGGCCGAAGCTTTGAAAGGTGCTGCTGACCAGTTAAACACGGTGGTGGTTCCCAGCTCCAGTATATGGAGGGAAATCTGCTGTAAAAAACACGGTGAGTTTTTTTTTTACGACCCCTAATTTTTAAAATAAAGCAGCAAGCAGATCATATCCACATTTTCTGGAAATGTATAAAACTTTAAGAATACTGGCAGGACATATAGACTATAAATGTTATAAATGATCATTTTCACGTGAGAAACTGTATTTTTGTAGCCTGTCAAATGAATATGTTCAATGTGAGGATAGATATTTGGTAAAAAATACTGTTAACTGCAGCCAAGAAAGGAACCACTAGGAAATGGTACAGAGGCGACCCTTCTAACCTGAGGAACTGGATGGACGCGATGGAGGACATCTTTAAAGGAATAGTACACCCAAAACACGATTAGCCTTCATTTTCTACTCACCCCCATGCTGAACAACACTCTGGAGTACTTTTTTGATATCTCAAATGCATCTGGAGATCTGGGAGGCTTCTTGCTGTCTGCTGACATTCAAATAATGGATGTCTGTGGCGCCCGAGGCAGAAAGGTCCATAAAAGTCCACAAAAAACGTGTCAATATTCCTCCATACTGCTCGTCCAATGTATTCCAAGTGTCCTGAGTGGGTAGCATCCATAATTTACTCGAAACGAAGTCATTTAGAATGTTTTTAGAGCATAAACAGTAGTGTATAGGATTTCCTAAAAGCGCGTTCACGAGTCTACGGAAACCGCAGCAGACCAAACCAGATGAAAGTGCGCATTCAGCTCGGCAAAGAACTCATGCTCTTCCTCAACACTGAAGTCCTCAGACATTTTTCTTTCGTTGTTTCTTTCTTTGCACAGGTAAACAGCACATTTCTTTCGCTTGCCGATAATGCAAGCGTAGAAGAATGCGCACTTTCATCTGGTTTGGTCTGCCGCGGTTTCCGTAGACTCGTGAACGCGCTTTTAGGAAATCCTATACACTACTGTTTATGCTCTAAAAACATTCTAAATGACTTCGTTTCGAGTAAATTATGGACGCTACCCACTCAGGACACTTGGAATACATTGGACAAGCAGTATGGCGGAATATTGACACGTTTTTTGTGGACTTTTATGGACCTTTCTGCCTCGGGCACCATAGACCTCCATTATTTGAATGTCAGCAGACAGCAAGAAGCCTCCCAGATCTCCAGATGCATTTGAGATATCAAAAAAGTTCTCCAGAGTGTTGTTCAGCATGGGGGTGAGTAGAAAATGAAGGCTAATCATGTTTTGGGTGTACTATTCCTTTAACATGGCAAAACTCTAACATATATGTTGAAAGATTCATGGTAAAATCAGCCCCTGGCTTTAGGTTGGCAGGGAGGTTTGGCTAGTTTCTAACTTCAAAGTGGAAAATCTTTCATCAGTCCATATATAAGGATGAGGGTGTGTTCACTTTCAGAATCTACCACACAGTTTCACTGATGGTACGAACCGTTTCACAGCTCCTACAGTCAAGTTGTGAAACGGCTCGTGCACCAGCCCCATTTATTGGAACCGATAGCACTAAACCATACTGCTAATTCGCCCTGTGGTGCCCTCATGCATCTGCCCCCACCCCTCCTTCCTGTTCTTACTGCTCTGCAGAGGGATGGGGCCCTCAGTAAGACTTGCCCTAAAGAAACCGACCCCAACGAAACTGTTGCAACCAGCAGCTGGGCTCCAGGATCAAAACTGTAGTGTTTAATAAAATCTGATTTTATAGTATAGAAATCAGAACCCAGCAGGCTCTGAAAGGCCTGCTTATACATTTACACAGCTGCTATGTCTGCAGGCTTTGTGTTGAGATTCAGTTTTCTGTGTAGAATATTACACAATTATTGTACATGCAGAGCAGAAATCAAAAATAAGCAAAGTGATTTGTGTTTGCAGACATTGTGTGAACACCATTTTGTTTTTTACTTTGTGCTTTCATTTATATTCAGATCATATTTGAATTTTCAAAGTCCACAATTTCATGCATGGAGGGTATTCAAATGTAAACAATTACCTCATGCAAAGCCATTTTCCAAATCTGAAACTCAACTGCGGCCGCAGGTTTTGCATTTTCTTCATTGTTTCTGAAAGTCTGCTGCAAACAGACATGATTAAAAAAAAGGTCTACATGGGATAACATGAATAAATGCAGCAGGATGGCCGACAAATTTTATATAATTAAACCAAATTCTTCCTCGATTCAACAAAGCAGGAAGCAAAGTTATGTTTTAAATGTTTTAAATGTTTGCATCTGTTTTAAATCATACATTTTTAGGAGGTACAGCATCAGCCGTCAAAGAGTTATGGTGTTTAACTATTTGATTATTTAACATCAGTTGGTTTTAATTGTTTTATTTTCAATGTAGGTAAAGTGCTTTATGGATATTATTTAGTATTCTAATTAAATTGTTTTAAATGTTTTTTTTTTTATCATTAGTACCTTTAAAATGAAATGAAATGGAAAATATCCAGTATAGTTTACAGTGAAATACTAAATAAAAAACATTTAACGTGGTTAGTGTGAAATGTTTTAATGGGTCATTATAAGCATAATTCAAACACAGGCCTTTTTTGATAAGCTGCAGTGGAAATAGAAATGTAGAAATATTTGAATTCCTGCAAGACGGAAATCACAAGTCCACAAAGATCATTAAAGTACAGATTGTATCTATCAGGTAGATTGTTTTTTTTTCCACATTTAGGTTAGATTTAAAACTTTTTTATGATAGAGCTTGTAGTTAGACTGGCTTAGGTTATCTTAGGTTTTCTGAACAACATTTATCTATTACTCAGCGATGACTTAGAACAGACAAGTTCTGAGGTCATTTTAAATAATAAGCATCAGATTGCAAACTGTGAGGTGTTGCAACTGATCCCAGGCTGTAAACAGATAAAACATTAGCAGTTGGAACATTAAAAAAATTATTTTACTCTTGATAAACTTATTACTGTAATTCTAAATCTTGTTGCTGCTTCTTATCTGCTTTGATCAGATGATATGTTTGATAGATTCAAGTTGATCAAAGATATAAAGGACTTGTAAGAAACATAGGAAGGATGGAGCCATTTCCAAGCCAATTAACGTTTATTTTCTGCATTGGATCATTAACTTCTTTATGTAACATAAGCGCATTTTATATAATTTAAGTCCGTTTCCTCTTCAGCATATAAACAGAGTTATAAAAAGTCATGGACACAGAGACACATGCATGCATCCGTATTGATAAACCTCCTCAAACTACTCTGACCTGATGAAATATTTTATATAAGGTTAAAAAACTGATGAAGGAATGTTAAAAATTCTGTTATGTGGTCTGTGATATCTTAATGCAACAGCTGCTAAAATCCACCCCATTCTGGTCAACCATGATAAAACCTCATCTTCCGGCAAAACTAGGTGATCCAGATAAATGCTAACCACGTTAGATAAAAGCTAAATATTTCAATGCAGGGCTGATTTCAGGGCTGATTTCAGGGCTGCTAAGTGGCGAGGTGGGTAGCACTGCAGCAAGAAGGTTGTGGGTTCGATTCCTGGCCCTGGGTCTTCCTGCATGGAGTTTGCATGTTCTCCCTGAGCATGCATGTGTTCTCTCTGGGTACTCCGTCTTCCTCCTACAGTCCAAAAATATGACTGTTAGGTTAATTGGCTTCTCTAAATTCTCCTTAGGTGTGAGTGTGTGTGTGAATGGTTTTTTGTCTCAGTGTTGCCCTGCGGTGGACTGGAGACCTGACCCCGCCTCTCACCTGTAGACAGCTGAAGATAGGCACCAGCACCCCTTGTGACCCCACTTGGAATAAGCGTGACAGAAGATGGATGGATGGATGGATATTTCATTTCAGTTTATTTCTATTGTGCAAATTCAGAACATATTTAATCTCAAGGCAATTTACAGCGACGATTCAATCAGATCTTTCAGTCAGATTGATTAAAGGTTTTTCATCTTAGGAAAAGAAAATGCCAATTGCATCGACTTATTGTCTTTGCAGGATTTGCTCTTTTTGTATGAGAAAACATACTTTTTAAAGAAACATGAAAAATAAAGAAATACAGCAGATAGAGATAGTCGCACTAGAACCTGAGCCCACTTTTGATCAAGCAAAATAAGAAAAATAGAATTAAAAATAGACATGCTTTCATACCCTAAAAAATCTATGCAATAAACGCTAGAACAGCAACAAGGCATGTAGCAAAAACATTGCAGGAACTGTTCACAGAGTCCTTATATGTGTTTAAAAAAAAGGATTGGGAGGTTTTAGGAAATTTGGGGACCTATGCAAAGACAGGCCTCTGAATTGAGAAGACAACACATAAAACAGACCCATTCTACAGATAGAGAAATGTTAATAGACATACAATGTTTGTTCTTTTCTTGTTGTTTTTCTCTCTATGTTTTGTATTTAGTTGACTTGTCATGCTGTCTCATAAGGAATCAAAGATGTTCCAAGCACTAAGCCAATTCTAACTTAGCTGATTGCTCCTTCCTGTGTTTCCAAAAAGGCGACGGCAAAAGTACG